CTTGGGGACTTCCTGCCTGCAGTTGTGATGGTAAGTGTCTCTTCTGTCATTGATTGTCTTGAGTGATAGGTAAGCACCAGACAAGTGAGGATGCTTGGCAAAAAAAAAAAAAAAAATATATATATAAAGCAAGAAGCAGCTCTTGGAAAGTTTTCATTATGGAGGAATGTTGACCGTAGAGGAAGTGAGCAAATTAACAAAAAGAAGTGATTGGAAATGCCCCCATGTCAAGGTTTACTTTCTGATTTTTTCCAAGTTAAAGGCAATGACCAAGTATAGAAGTGGCAGATGCTGAACAAGGGTACTTCCTTCAGTGTTTCCTTGGGTCTCCTCTGCACACCAGTAGACACTGGGAAAATTCAACCCTGTGGGGGATTTATTATTTCTAATATGGGCTAGAGGATTGCCCTACAAAAATACAGCTTTAAAGATAATTGCAGGAAAGGATGGTTCCCTGCCTGCTACCACGAGGATACCAAGCCCTGTGATGCCACTAAAGCATGACTGCTCCCAGCTTCCTTTGGAGCTGACTGGTGATGCTGTTGCTGAAATTTGTTTCATGTGGTGGGTTATTCTGTTGAGAGGAAGCTTTAGGCTGCTTTGGGCTGAAACTTCTCTTTTTATTCCTCCTGCAGTGGGCTGTGCTCAGATCTGGATCCAGTCATTAGACTCTTAGTGTGCTCTCTGAGGACTTTATGCACCAGATGCCAGGTGATGCTGGGTTTTGCTCATGGGCACTCAGCCTCCTTGCAAGCAGCCCAGCAAGTGCTGCTGACTGTACCTTTGGGCTCTCAGTCTGCAGATGCCTTCAGGAAGCAGTGGTTAGGGCAGTGTGGTGTTTTCTGATGTGCAGCAGCTCTCACGAGCTCTTCTGTCTTGGAGATGGGACAGCTGCAGCACAGGTGCCCCGTGCTGTGCTCTCCTCCCGTGCTCAGCTCTCACTGTTGATGTTTGATGGCTGCTTTCCCTCAGAGCTCCAAGGCCTGGCTCTGTGCTGGCTCTTGAGCAGCCTTTAGGCTGGATTTTGGGCTTTTGCACAGGACTCTCCATCTCATTTCTGTTCCCCTGAGCTCTGGGACTGTCCTGGGGGAAAGGACAACAAAGCCCAGCAGTGTTTGAAGAAGGAGGGGAGGAGGTGGTGGTCCTGCCAGGCAAAGAGGATGTAAAACCAGAGGGCATGGAGCACATCCAGCTCAGCCCTGTTGCACAGCAGGCTGGGTCCTTCCATGCATCCTGCTTTGCCCAGGTGGAGCTGCCCTGTCCCACTGCTGTCTCAGAGCTGCAGTTTTGGAGAGAGCAATGTTACTGTGGCTGCTGAAACTGGGCTGAGCTAAACACAGCCTGGTGCCCAAGAAGGGAAATTGCTACTTGACCTTTTCACCCTAGATTTCTGGGATTAGCTAGAATAGGACAGAATCACTGATAGTCTAATCTCTGATTTTTGTATCTAGGGCCCTGTCTTTGTCCTCCTCAAACCCAGTAGCTCTGATCCCTGTGTTTTCAGCACAAGCAAACCCTCTTGGACTCTCCTGGAAAGTAGGAGGGGCTGCAGTTGTCAAACACACTTGGTTTTATCTCATTCAGAACAATGGATGGGAGATACAACAGTGAGAATGATTCAATATGGGGGAAAAGAAATTTCTCTCAATTGAAATAAAACAGTTTGTGTGTGTGACTTTCTCTAGTGAAAATAAACTGCTTCAGGCTTCCCAGAGGTGGCTGCCACCATATTGCTACCTGCCACGGGATTTTCCTGCCATTGTGTAACAATTTGCTGATTTCTGCCAGGATCAGCCAGGCATGTCAATGAGGAAGTAAGGCAGATCAGCTCGGTGCACCTCAGCATGAGTTGACTCTGCTGTTGCTATTTATAAAGGGAAAAAAGTCCCTTGGTTAGTCCATACTCTAACAGAAAGGCCAGGCTCTGATGCACGGGTTGCAAGCAGCATGTAAAGGCTTCCTCTGGGCTCCTGCGAGAGGCAGCTGCTGGCGGGGTGTGCTCTGCAGGTGTGCGACAGCGCTCCTGCCCTGCGTGCTGCCCCCTCACTCCTCAATGCGAGACTGCAGGGCCGGGCTGCCTGCTGCTCTCCCGCTCTCTGCTCTCCTCCCAGCTGGTCTCCAGCTCACTGCGAACTCTCCCGCCCCCAGCGAGTGCTGAGTGCCCCCGCACTGAAGGAGCAGGTGGGGTGGTGCCATTAGGACGAGCCCTGATCCCACAGCCCCAGATCTGAAACGGAACCACTGCCACAGGTGCCCGAGGCTCCAGGCTGATACTGCTGCTCCAGCCAGAGCAGCTGCCTGTGCTGATGCTGGGGCTGTGGCTGCTGCTGCCTTGCCTCCTGCTCTGCAGCTCTTTGAGGGTGTCAGCAGTGGCTGGAGCTGCTTCGCTGCCCCAGCCCTGTGCTTACACCTCCTGTCCCCTCTGGCAGTGCCTGCCTGGGGCTGCTCACAGCAGGCTCTCCTGCAGCATCTTTGAGGCTGAGAGGCTGCTTGGGGCTGTAACAGGGGGTGCTCGAGGGCTGGGGTGAGATGGGTAACAGAGATTGAGGCAGAGGTTTCAGCTGTGCACCATTAGGGCATTCCCATGTGTGGCACAGCCCTTGGTCAGCAGCCATGGGAGGGGAAAAATGGTTTTACCCTGTGTCCTGCTGGGGCAGCAGCAGGGGTGGGCAGAGCTGGGAGGGTGAGGAGCCCTGAACACAGTGAGCAACAGGGAACTCAAGCTGTGAGCAAGAAACACAGGCTCCTTTTAGACAAGGCTGTAGGCTCACTTTCACCAGTGCTTAAAGGAGCTTTGTTCTCTGTGCTGGTTAGAGGCTGATTTCCCAGTATCTTAAACAGAAATCTTGTTTTAGCCTTGAGAAAAAAAGCTTTTTTATTTATAAAGGCATGGCATTTTTCTTTTCCCTGCTCTCCCTCCCCACAATGGCTGGTATTGCTTGGACAATGCTGCTCTTTGCAGCCTTGTCCAAGGGGGTTCTGCTCTGAGCTTGTATTTCCTGATCACTGCTGAAAGCAGAGCTTGTCACAATGGCATTTTTCTCTGGAACCTGCAGTAAAACACCAGCCATTCTTCACCTCCCACACTGTGATCACACTTGCTAGTGCCTGTGAGCAGAGAAATGCTGACTGAAGTGCCAGCCTCCCTTGTGTCTCTGGAGAAGCCACCCTGAGCCCCCTGGCACCCTGAGAGGGCAGCAAGGCTTTGGCCATGGGGCAGCAGATGCTGGTGCCGTGCAGGGCTCCAGACACAGCTCATGGGTGATTGTGAAGGACAGGCTGCTGCATTACTGTTTCTTTTTCTTGAAAATGTCCCCTTTTACCTCACAGGTTTAAAGCCTGCCCCATTGACCCTTTTCACCTGCCAGCTCTGGTTAGCTGCAGTGGGACATGGAAGGGATTGCAGCTCCTGCAGGCCCAGCAGGGACCCCACTGCCCATTTTGTCACTCACACAGGCAAAGAAGGCTCAAATCACCTCCTGAGGAAGAATCAGCAGGCAGGCTCAGGAGAGGAGGACCTAATGCACAGGGGAGTGTCCTGGTCACCAAGTCATACTCTCCTGGTGCTGTCATCTATGCCAAGGGGCTGCTGTAAGGCAAGGAGACCCTTGCTGCGTGCTCAGAGACAAGGTAGGAAGGATGGTAGGGCTGATCTTGCATAAAGAGGAAATTTGCCTTGTCTCTTTGCATGTGTTTCACGGCAGTAGAGAGAAGGCAAATCTGGGAGGTTCCCCAGTATGGAAGCTTGGGGCATCAGTGTCTCCCAGAATGCTGATCCTCCATGGGAAGCACAGTTTGCACTCCCCTCCTCATCACCAGTGTGGGCCCCATGGCCTCTCCATCCCAGTTTTCCTTCCAGCCATGTTGATGTCATGTTTAGCATGGCACTGAAATGAAAGAAAAATGCTCATGCCAGGAGAGATTCTGTGCTTTATGTACAATCAGTAGTGCTGCTAGTCACTTCTGAAATTTCTGTTCCTTTGTGCTCAAAGCCATCATTAAAGCTTCATGAGAAATTAGTAATTCTTTGTAACTTGTGGCTGGTCCAGGTTTTGCCTTTGGGTTTGATTTTGTGAGCAGTCTGAGCCATCCTCACCAAAATGGGCTCATTCGAAGCAGCCACTGCCCCTTTGAGCCACATTTCACTAAAAGAGTTTGGACAGGCTTTTTCCCCTCTACTTTACTGTGGCAACTATTGCATCTCTAGGATTAACAGCAGCTTTCACACAGGGGTAAAACCAGGGAATGGCTGCGATGAGGCTTCTCTCTGTGAGAGAGAGCTGTCATTCTCTCTGCCTGTCACGGGCAGGGCGATGGCAGCACGGCCTCTCCTGGGGCAGCCGCAGCTGATGCACAGCCCTGAACACCAGCGGGGAACGAGGCCGCAGCACCGCGAGCATGGGGAGGGTGAACTCAACACGGCAAATGTGGGGAGAGAAATCGCCTCAGCTGAGCAGGGAGCGAGGCCCTCCCGCCGGGTTTCGGAGCCCCGCGGCGCTGAATTTCCCTGCCCGGGGGTCGGAGCTAACGCGTGCCCTGATATTTTCGGAGAGTAAAGCAAACCTGTCTCGCTCCTTGGCTGCCGGCGATGCCTGAGGGGATGCCCCGGGCTGGAGCTGAGGGCAGGGAGCGCTGGATGAGCCTGTCCTTTCCTTGGCGCCGGCCGGGCAGCCAGGGAGGCATCGCAGCCCCGGCTCCGGCTGGGCCCCGGCCCTTGGCTCTGCCGGTGCAGCCGCGGAGGAGAGATGGCCGCAGAACGAGGATTTCGGGGATTTTTGGGGATTTTGGGCATTTTTGGGGTTTTGGGCACCACCCCGAGGGTCCCTCGCGCCCCCTCTCCCCCCGCCCCCCGCGTTCCCCGCGCGCTGAGGGCGCGTGAGCCGGCGGCGGGCGGTGATTGGCTGCGAGGCGCCCCCCGGGGGCCGCCGGGCCGCGGCCGCGCGCCGAGCGCCATTCACGGCGCTGCCCGCCCGCACGCGCCGAGCCCATTCACAAAAACTTCATTCATAAAACCGGCGGCGGCGGCGGGGGCGGCCCGGGCGCTGCGGAGCTGCTGCCCCGCGGCGCTGCGGGAAACGGCCCCGGAGCCGCGGGAGTGTTCCGCTGTTTCGGGATTATTATGGTGCTGAAGGACCTTCCAGCAGGAATTAGCCAGACCGACGCTGCTCAGTGTTTTTGGAAAGAATCCTGGGTTTGCGCCTGACGGCGGGGCAGGAGCTGCAGCGCAGGGATGCTCTTCGCCTCTGGGGCAGCGGCGGTGGAAGTGCAGAGAGCCGGGCACCTTACGGGGTTCATGCCGGTCTGAAAATACCTTTGGGCTTGTAGCTGCCTTGATCTGCTTTGTGTGGAATATGCTTGAGCTTTCGCTGCAGCCAGGACTCTGCAATTATTGATGCTACAGCTGTGAATCTTCAGAGCTAGGTGGGATTTAGTGCCTGGCTTGAGGCAGCAATGAAGGCAGGTTTGGATAGTGGCTCTTCACCTTAAGCTGCTGTACCACCGATGTGCTTTCCTGTATGCTGCTTTTATTTCTGCTTACAAAATGCCAGATGCCCATGCAGTTTTAAGCCTTGTTCTTTGAGGAAAATAAACCATCCAAGAGGGAGTCAGCAAAAATATCCTATAGGTTTCTGTTTTAAAAATTGTTTGACTTGTTTGATTTCCATATAATTTATCTACAAGAGCTAATTTATGCAAGAATATCCAGTTACAGACCTGCCAAGGCTATGAGAGAACGCAGCCAGCAGAGCCTCGGTGGACACGTCCTGTATGTAGGGTTATTCAGACATCCAGGAATGCTGCACAGGGCTAAGTACAGCCGATTCAGGAATGATTCCATTACCTCCCTAGATGAAGGTACACAAAATACGTCTTTAAATATCAAAGGTTCTTCCTCCTCTTCCCACTCTTCAACACCCAATTTACTGGCAGAAGATGTGTCCCTGGGGCCGCAGGACACCTGCACCACGCTGTGCACGCTGATCCCCCGGATGGCCAACATCAAACTTGCCAACCCCTCCAGTCTGCCGGGCCTGAAAAGCTTCTGCCTGGGAACCAAAGAGGTGCCACGCATTAAACTCACCGAGTGCGTTACCATCCCCAGCAGCCCCACCTCGCCTGAGATCAGCTGCCTGTCGGCCTCCTACCCCCAGCCCGACCTGGACAAGCTGGTCCTGGCCCCAAAGGCAGCGGGTGACTGTGCTGAGGACGCTGCTGTGGGCAGGCAGGACAGGGGCCAGGCCCAGAGCAATGACAGCACGTACAGCCAGGAGCCAGGAACCACCTACAGCGTGCGGGTGAGTACATCCCCTGGGCTCCCATCCTCTGACAAAGCAAACAGCTCAGCTGGCTGCTGGTCACCTCCATTTTCCTGCCTCTAGAGTCCATGCCCCAAACCACTGCGTTCTCCCATGTAGTTCCTGTTTTTTGGTGTCCGTAGGGCAGTGGCATTGAGCTGGGGGAGCTAAAAGCACCCCAGCTGCTTCCAGAGGTAACACAACATCCAATTCCAAAGGACTGTCTGTAGACTCTCTGAGAAGTGCTGCTGAACCACAACTGAAACGGGTTACTCTGCATGTTGGAGGGAAAAGGAAGCCCATGAAAGGGCCTCCCATCCCTCACAGAGAGCAGCTCCAGGCATTAGGTGTGTTCTGGCCCACACTGCTGACATTTGTCAGGGAGGGTGTGGGGCAGGCACTGCCCAGGTTGTATTTCCAGTGTGGTTTTCTGCTGGTCTTCCTTTTGTGGGCAATATCTCCTAAGGGGCTTCACTGGCAGGAGCCTCACAATGCAACAGGGACATTTTTTTTTCCCTTCATCTTCCTGGTTATGTGGCTCCCATGGCTGTGGGCCTGCAAGATCCAGCCCAAGGAGAGCTGCAGGAACATCGCTGACATGTCCTGGCCAAAATCTTGGTGGTTTTTTCAACTAGCCCTTTCAATAGTAACAGCAGATTGGTAAATAAGTAACATGGGGGTTTGGGTGTTTCAGCATCAGAGGATGTGCAAGGTGAGAGGATGAGCAAGGCACTCATTTCCCCAGAGACCACCAGTCTTCTTCAGTAGCTGGTGATGAAGGCTCAGATGGGCTGGGAAGTGGCCAGGGCTGCAGCATGGCAGGACTATGGTGCAGAGGAATGGTTTTACCTGAAGGCAAAGCGGGGCCAAGAGACCAAGGGCTGGGCATTTGGGGCTGCTTCCAATCCTCTAGCCCTGGCCCTCCTGTGTGTTTGGAGGCACTCACTCTCCCCATGCAGCTTCTTGTGCCCTGCTGGGGTATGGGATTGCTGGGATCTCCACAGAGACCCTTTTAGGAAGCAGGGCAGGTCCACGTTATTGGGACGGCTGCTGCCAGAGATCTTTGTCCTTAACAGCTTAATCAGAGTAAGAGGAGGATTCAGCAAGTACATGGAGAGGATCTACAGTGATTTTAGAAAGACAGTAATGTGGTGAATTAGAGAAATGTTGTAGGGCAGAAGCTGTCCCCTGCAGACTGCAGTGAGGCAGAATTTTCCTTGGTGCTGTTTTAACAAGGGGCCGTGCTGGGCTCATTGCATCCCCTGGGGAAGCAGCTGTGCAGGGTGAGACTGGTGGTGGCAGGGCACCTGTGTCACAGCCACGTGTCACCCGGGCCTGCTGGGGAAGCTGAGACCCATAATAGCACCTGGTCCCCCCAAATGCTCGTGCAAATAACAAAGAGCTCAAATACTGATATTCCAAGAGAAGCCTGGACAGCTCTGATTCTCATGCTGTTGTGTTTCAAAACATACTTTGTATGCAGATTGCTTCAGGCTCTCCCAGGGGGATATTCACCATGTCCTTGTTCACATTCTACCTGTTAAAAACCTCCCACAGTGCTGCCCATCTGGGGCTGAGGTTGTCTCTGAAGGGCACCCATAGTGGCCATGGCACTTATCTTTCCTGCTGGTGTTTGTTATGGCTGTGATGAGCCTGAGGAACATTCCAAGAGGCACTTGCCATCCTTTCTCTTGCTTGTTGGGGAGTGCCAGGGATGTGGCTGCTGCTGGGAAGGAGGATAAGATCTGTCTCTCAGCACTGTCCTGCAGCAGTGGTTTCTCTGAGAATAGCAAGGATGATGTTTACTGGACCTAACATGGAGTAAGCCTCTGTACCTGAGATTAAATCAAAGCGTGAGTCTTTGAAAGATGATTGGTTTTTAAAAATTATTTAACTAAAATGTGAAAAGGAAATACTATTGCCAGGTATTTCATAATAAAACCATTATACTTTATAATAATGTGGTAAAGGTTGTTTGCAGCATCCTTTGTTTCAAAGGGCTTTTAGCAATGTACTGGTTGATCCTCTGCTAGTGGCTTGATGGTGAATGCATATAGATATATGCCAGCATGTATGTCTAAAATCAGCCACGTGTCTCTAGATTAAAAGGAGCCTGACCATTTCCAGCACGCTAGTTCAGAATTACATGAACTGCACCCTGAAGCACGTGTGGGCACCAGTGCCCTGCTCAGCCCTGCTGCGGGCCACTGAGGATGCCACAGGTCAGCCTGGAGCAGCTGCTCCTTGCCGGGGTGGGGAAGGGTCCAGCACAGCCCTTTCCCGTCCTAGCTTGCCACCAGCGCTTCTTCCACGTTCAGGGCAGGGAAATATTGTGGTGTTTGAGCTGCAGCCACCTCCGTGGCGCGCAGCACCCGACACTGCCCCTGGAGAGCTGCTCTGCATCGCCCGTCGTAAATAAATAACTCCGGGCGTCTGCAGAGCCGGGCTCCCGCAGGAAGGAGCCGGGCTCCGGTGATTCATGGCTCCAGCCGCAGCTGTGAATCATGAGCGGGGTGCCGGGCGGTGCTGCTGTGCCGGGCTCGGGTTCGGGGTTCCGGCAGCCTCGTCCCACGGAACGCGCCCGGCACCGGCACCGCCCGCGGGGCGCCCGCGCCTCTCGGGGATCGATCCCCTCAGGAACCCGCGGGTTTCCAGGGCATTCCCTTCAGCACAGCCGGAGAACGGAGACAGGGTGGGTTGGGAACAATTCTGTTAGAGACCTGGCTGAGTGCAGTGCTGCAGAAAGAGGTTTTTCAGAAAACAAACTAAAATATTTATGTGTATCTGTATTTATGATTTTTCCTTAGTTTTTTTTTTTTTAATTGAAAACCTGTGAATGAAAGAGTCAGACTTTCCCAGAAAAAAAATTCATTTATCAAAAGGTATTCTTCTTCACAAAAAGCCCTGTCTTGCTGCCCTCAGGCTGTGCTGCGTGGGCATGAGGAGTGGGACAGACCAAGGGCCTGTCTGTCTGTCTGTCTGTCTGCACTGCAGCTGCTGCAGGGGGGAAGACGAGAGCAGGGCAAGCACATGAGGAGAGTTAGGCTAGGTTTGTGGGTTTGTGTTTAATGATCTTTAATGGGCTCCTTTGATCCTTGAAGGTATCTCGTCTGTTTTCCAGCTGGTTCAGCCTGGATTTTGTGCTGTCTCACAGGTGCCCTGGGGGTACCACCCACGTCTGCAGTGGTGTGCTGGGGGCTGCCTTGGCCTCTGCTTCCCGTGCTGGGGATGGCAGAGGTTCTGCTGCCTTTGCTTTTGCATCTGGATGGGGTTGGTGTTTGCTGGAGGAAACCAGTGAGGTTCAGGCGGAGGAATGAGCCAGTTGAATGTCCTGCAGGGTGCAAACCTGGGCCAAAGTTCTCATTTAGCTGCCTGACTAGAGGCTGCTTACAGAGTTACAGAGCACTTACCCCAGCGCAGTGAACCCTGCTGTGAGAGGCAGGATGAGCACCGAGCTGGCTGGCACAGTGCAGTCTGTGTGCTGGCAGGAGCAGAGCCACTGCCAGGGGAGCCCTGGTGGTCTCTGCTTTCCAGTGGACACAGTGCCTTTCTAACCCCAAGGCTACCACAGGCAGCATCTAAGGAAGGGCTGAGAAAACTTCCCTACCAAAACTCCAGTAATCATGCTTTGCTCTGTCACCACATCCCTGGCTGGCTTCTGGTATTGTCCGTGGAGGGAAGGCAACACTTTACCTTCCTGCTAGGGTGAAAGCAGAGAAATCTCACAACAGGTTCCTGAGCCTGGCACTCTGCATTGTCCTGCCATGTGCTGCTTATTCACATGGGCCCTGCCTGGTGCCTTCTCATCTCCTCCCACGCAGTTCCTCATCCTGTTTGCAGGCACTGTCATCTCATGTAAACAGATGTGGAAAGGTGTGTGCATCTTCAATAACTGCTGTTCTCTCCTGGTGGTGTGGGGAAATGCAAGCCAGCCCCAGAACGCCCTCTGTACTCAAACACCAAGGGACAAAGCAGTCCTGGTGCCAGTGCTCTCACAGCCCTTTGCAGGCAGATGGGATATCTCTGCACACATTGCCATTAGTGGAGCCCTTCCCTTTCCAGCAGGGGCCAGTGAGTCTTTCCTTTCCTTCCTAAGAGCTGCTGCTTGTCTTGGCAAGAGCTCTCCATCCTGCTGCTGACAGAACAGTGGGTTCAGCATCCTCTTTCATTAGCCATGTCAGATCTTCAGCACTTGGCTTGTTTCACTGTTGCTGTCCTGTTTTTCTGTAGGTAGCTGAATTCTGCAGTCACGTCTGTGCTTGTTGCCCCAGGCAGGTTAGTGCACCCTTGGGCCTGTGTCCAGCTTCTCCCAGCTTGCCCAGCAGCTCAGTGAAGGGGGCCTTGCCTCTCTGTGGGCTTCAGAAGATGAACACCCCTCCCTGTACACCCCCTTTGGACCTGACTTTCACAAGAGCACCTGGTGAACAGCTTGCACTGGAGCAAGAGCTGTGGGCTGCTCTGGCTTCTTCTCCCAGGCACCTGTGGTTGCTGCCCTGCTCATGCTTTAGCTTAACCTTCCCTGCAGCAGGAAGGATGGAGCTGGCCTTGGCCCTGCATCACCAGAGAATCCCATTTTTGTTTTCCTGGGAGGTGCTGTTTGGGGTGTACAGGACGGAGAGTGGGGGCACCACCTGAAGTGGAGTGTGGGTGCAGAAGTCTCTGAGACAAACATTGTCCTTCTCTGCTGCCTTCCCCTTCCTCTCGTGCATTGCTTGTGCTGCTTCTCATATTTTGCTGTGGAGGGGTTAATATTTTTGTTTATTGTTAATTTTTTTTTCCTCCTTGGAGAGCGTCTTTTGTTTTCTTGAATAGGCTTCTGGTATTCCATTGTCCTTTTGTGTGCTCCATGGGCTTCTCCCAGGCTCTGTGACCCTGACTTGCTCTGCCCCAGCCCCACATTGTCCCCCTGCCCAAGGCTCTGCTGGTTCTCTGTGCCTGTGATGTGAGTGTTCAGCCATTTCCAACTGTGCCAGTTCAGATAACCAACGACAGCTGAAATAAATGAGAGATGCAGTGAGGTGCCATGTTAATGCACTTCCCTACTCAGGCTTTTAAAGGGAAAAAAAAAAAAGGTCTTTTGTGAATCATTGATAAGTTCAGCTTCACTCAGGGTCACTTATGCAAAAACCTAATATTGATTTTTCATCTTTGCTTAGAGTAGCTTCCCACGCATCTGTTCAGGATGCAATGGGGACTCACTTGTCAGCATATGACTCACCTACTTCTCTAAATTATGTTTTTTTCAAGGATAGAGGAGCAGCCAACCAGATTACAGGATGCTTGACCTTATACTGTAGGATCAGAGGTCGTTGCTGTGCTACAAGCTGAGGCTCTAGACATATTTTCCACATTTGCTTTGTTCCTGTTAAGCAGGAATATCTTTAACAAGGCAGATAGCTCTCAAAGTCATTAAATGTTCATTAGGGAAGCAGTTCTGCCAACCTTTCAGATTCTTATTGATGTCCTTCCAGGTCTCTGACCTAATTCTGGAGTTCTCCCAAGGGTTACATTGCTATTGGAAAGAAAGCAAAATAGGGATAATACAATTGTTGTGGAATCCCTGACTGCACATATAACATTCTCTTTTTCACACACTCATTTCTGAAAGTCTGCAAAGCTGAAACATATACCTAAATCCAACCCTCTCTGAATGGCCCAGCAGAAAAATTGATTTACGGGCAAAGTGAGGCAGAGGAACTAAATATGGGCCCTTTCTCTGACACAGAATGCCTCCTCCATCCGTTCAGACAAAACACAGAGCATGTATGACCCTGCCTGGGTTTTCCAAGTTGTCTCTGTCCCAGAGGCTTTGACTTCCTGCAGGAGAGGTCTGCACAGGCATGCTGTGACTGCAGCCCTTGGGCTCTGTGTGAGCACTGCAGGATGGTCCCGAGAGCAAAAATGAGAGACCCAGACCTGTGCCAGCCTGTTGAAATGAAGAGATCAGACTGCTTCAACAACAGAGAGACTGACGTCCATAGAAATGCTGAAGGATTAGTAAGATATGGTTGGGGATATGCCATCACATCCTTGATATTTCTGGGAATTAGTTTTATACAAATCCCAAATGAGAATAGAAAAAGCCCCAGCTCTGTCCCATAAAACAGAAGTGTGGCAGTCAGCCTTTCATTTAAAGCAGGTCAGTTTATAGTGTAGGCTCTTAAGAGCTGTTGCTATGAGCTGGAATTGCAACTTCACATCCTTCATCCTGTGCAGAGGTTGTTTGTCATCAGACATGGAGCAGTGTGGAGCCAGTGGTTTACCTTGTGGCCTGTAATGCCTCCTTCTCTCTGAAGGGACACTCAGCTCTTCTGCGTGGGGGCTCTGAGTGAATTGGTCTCTGAGGGGCTTCCAGAGCCTCTCTGCTCCTGAGGACTCTTTCTCTCCAGTATTTCCTCATGTATTCCTCCCAGCTCAGTGTCACAGGCTAATAAGTGAGAGTAAGCAGAAATGGGAAAAAAAAGGAATAATTGGATTTTGTGTTCCCAGAGTGCTTTGCCTTTTTTTTTTTTTTTTTTTTTAGTGCTATGGTGTTTAAGCCGTTGGTATCTTTATTGCTCTTCTCTACACTTTTAGTAAAACAAGATCTATTTAGGAAGCAGCTTTAGGATGGCTGATTTGATTTTCCATTTAGACTGTGGTTCTGCATAAACTTAGCGGACAATAATCACATTTGCTTCCTCCTGAGATCCTCCTCTTACTTGTGTACCAGATATTAACAGTCCTCCCTTTTCTCTGTTTTCCATAGTACATGGGCTGTATTGAGGTGCTGCAGTCAATGAGATCCCTGGACTTTGGCACACGAACACAAGTCACCAGGTAGGTGGTGTAAAACTGAGATTCAGCCCAAGAATGAAAAGCCTGAGTGCTAATTTTTGTATAAAGCTGAGGGTGCGTGCCAAGCTCTGAGACAATTCTGAATAGGAGTTTGCATGTTTTGTTTTGTCTTTTCCTAAGTGATGATTTGAATTATTTGATCATTACAATAGGCTATTTGCATTGGAAAATGAATTGTTTCAGGCACAGACGTAATTTCTCTCCCAGCTCTTGCTCAGAGCCTCCCCCTGCAGTGGCAGCACAGAGCAGACGTCCCCAGCCAGCTGGGCACCAGCAGCAGCTGGGCTCTGCACGTGGCTCAGCGCTCCCCAAGGCAGGGGCACACGCACTGGTGCTGCTGGGCCTGGGCTGCCATGGCCAGGGTGCAGGGCCAGGACCCTCACGGGTCTCTGTCAGCAATCTGCATCTGCTGCTTCCCCCCTGGTGCAGAAAGTGCCATCAGCCCCTCAATCCAGCAACGTCATCTAGGGGATTTTTATCAGATGTTTGACATCGCTTGACCCCATCTGCACCAAGACCAGCCTCAGCTGGAAGTGGAGTCACAAGGAAAACATGTTGAAATACAGCTGTTTCCATCTGCACTGCAAGCCTAAGTTTTTAGGCTGCAAATCAGAGAAAGATTAATGTTTCATTCTTAGATACAACTGGGGATGTGGTTAAAACGTGAAATATTTTGTGGTCTTTTAAGAACTTTGCAACTTCTGTTGCAGGTTACTGCCAGTTTCTGGGTGTAGATTGTTAGTACCCCTATGCCTGTGGGGTGGCTGAAATGTCCTGTCAGAAATAGAAAAGCAGATTTTTATTTTTACATTTATTCTTATAAGTCTGGCAGTGCAGGAGTGTTTGAGTTCTCAAAACAATCACCTTCTATCCAGCTCTGAGTGCTGTGTGGTGCTGTGATGTGCTCATGGTCCACCAGGCAGCCCCAGCAGCCACTCAGCTTTTTGGGGGGTGGGTGGCTGCAGGTTATCTTCACCTGGCCTTAGACATGTTCCTCTCATCTGCTTTTCTGGCACAGTTCGTGCTGAGGATGCCAGGAGTGTGTTTGAGGCTTCCTGCACCTGCCCAGCTCTTCCTTCCTGCTGGAGGGAGATTTTCAGATGCTGTTTTTCTTCCTCAAGTTTGTATCCAAAAATTCCTGGAGAAGGGAAAGCAACCTGAAGAGATTAATGTTACATTTATACCTTCTGGCTTCCAAACTTACAAACTGAAAAGCATGAGTCCTTCAATGCCTATAGACTTCACTTGAAAGCTGTCCTGTTTGTTTTATATTAAAACCAGCAGTTGTTGAATGTACAACTGGTACAAGCACACACTCACCCAGTTCCTGCATGAGTGTATGAAAAGGTGCCTGAGATACCAATATACCTCCCTCAGGCAGGTCCTTTACAGACCAAGAAGAGCCATGTAATACACCCAGCCCAGGGCACTGTGTTCTTCACAGCTCAGCCAGAGGGCGAGGTTATCTCCTGTTTGCAAGAGGTGTGTGTGCTGCTGTGCTAACAGAGCAGAGCTTTGGCTGGTTTGTCAGGGAAATAATGAATATGAATTACTGCGTGACAAGAGCTTGCCAACTTAAATTTGGGCTAGATAGTAAGGTTTTGTTAAGCAGAACTGTGTCAAAACTTAACAATGGAAATATTTCCATCACCTAAAAAAAATGGCACTGCTGACCTTAACGGGCTCTTTTGTGCATGAGAAATTCTAAACTTCAACTGTTTGCAAACCAAATGCTGAAGTGCTGAGCTCACACATGCAGACTTTAAAGTCCGATCGATGACAAGCTGACTGGAGCAAAGATAACATTGATTATTCCCCTATTGTTCTCTCAGGGGAGGAAGTTTATAGACACATGCACAATGCACCAACCAAGGAGCTGCTGGAAATTACCCCTTGGTAACCATGCTTGTTATTTGAATTGGGGTAAAAAATATTTTTACTTGGATGGAATTTCACTAAACAGAGGCATCTTCTGTTTTAAAGTGATGTAGAAAGGGTCTCTAGTTATGTCTGCAGCCTGCCTTGATTTATGTGTATGTGCATGCTTCGTTACCTCATGGTTTCTAAAATTGAAGATATTATTTATCTTTGGAAAGAATGTTTGCCAAAGTGCAGTGAGGAATCCAAAGGAGAACGTGGAGAATTTACTGTCTACTTCTTGCTGGATTTGCATTTTCAGTTGTTTGGCAGGCACATGGTCAGGGAAGGCAGACAGTGTCCTCTCTGGCGCTGTGAATGACCATGGGATGCAGAGGTGCTGTGTGGCCAAATGACCCCAGCACAGCAGGAGAAGGGTGGGCACTGAGGTGCTTCCACCCTCCGTGGCTGTGGGGTGGGGAGGTTGGCACAGGAGATTCCACTGCGAGTTTTCCAGCTCTTTGCTGTTGCCTGCCCATGACCCCGCTTGTTCTTATGGACATTCCTCCCATTTTGCAGAAGTCTGTGATCTCAAACTCCATGTAGGTTACAAAGTAACACCAAAAATAATAAATGTAACAGGTTCTTCTGCTTGAGGGTCTTTGTATTTTTTTTTTTTTTTTTGTATTCCTGTGCTTGCTGCTCTGGATACAAGATGTGTTTGGGTTGTGCCACCCTTGTGCTGTGGCAGGTCCTGCCTTTGCTGGACCCTGATGTGTGCTTCTCTTGTCCAGCCATTCAGCTCTTTTCCTCTTACACATTTCTGTTAAATCAAGCTGATTATTAGTCATCAAATTTGGGCATTTCTGGGAAAAGAGGTTCTGTATCTTGGACTGGGGCATTAACTTATAAACTCGAAAATGATCAGGCAGTGAGGGGTGAAGGGTGTCTGAAATGTGCAGCCAGGGAGGGCTGCTGGAAGAAGGCTGACTTTGTTTGGAAGATTAATTTCAACTTTGTTGAGCCACATAATCCCTTTCTGTTACATGGTGTAGGCAGGGCCTTAGATGCTTAAAAGCAAATCCTCAACAGCATGCTTGCTTGCTTACATCAGCCCATCCTTCGTCCTTTATTCTGGTTTTGGGGGAACAATGAACAAGGCGGCTCAGTGTTGCTGCCCACAGGCGCTCTCCTCACGGGCAGCTCTGCGGGCGGCAGGAGCTGGGTCTGCCACAGGTTTCACTGCAGGCTGCAGACACAGAGGGAACCTGCACTGTACTTCTGAGTGGGCCTGAAAAAAAACCCCAAAAAGCTGGTTTAAAGGCTTGTGGATGCCAAAAATCGGTCACTCATTGCTGTTTATCGTGAGCGCATCCAGAGTTTCTTTTCTTCCTAGTGTGTGGAGCAGTTTCTAGTTTGTGGAAATGACTGCATGTAGGAAGTGTTCAGTTGTAGCAGCAGGTGTTACCAAACTCCTGCTTTTCACACCTTTCAAATAATATTTGTAAAGTTTTGCTAGATCACTTAGAAAATCACCCAGAGGAACGCAGCAAGAAATGTCTGTACAGCTATTTCCCCTACCAAAGAGAGGTAATAGAAACTATTAAATGGTTTGCTAGTTTTTGGTTCCTTTTTACTGGACACTTGCTTCAGAGCACGGTGAGGTGGGCAGCCACCAGACTGGCTTGTACAAGAATTGGCTCTGTGGCTGGCAATTCCTGATTTCACATGGGCTGCCTGATATGCAATAACTCATTTGTCACCAAAAGAGACAACTTCCCTGTTTTTTCAATTTGTTCTGTATCTGGTTTTCTTTCTAGGTAAGGCTAGACTTGAAGGCTCCAAGTAGCCTTAATGTCTTGGCTCTGATTTTAATTTCCTTTAATATTGAATGAGAAGATGAGTTCTCATTTTCCAGGCTGATTATTGGAATCTGCAAGATCATCCTGCAGGATGCCTTCCCCCTTTTTTTTTTTAATTTGGTCATGTTTGGCCTTCCTCCTGATAAATAAAACAGGAGCTAACCAAGAAAAGTATCAGAAATTTTCTTAAAAAACATATTTTCAGTTGTGGAGGGGGAAGTACTTTGCTTTTAAATGCTAAGAAGGGTCAGTGTTTAAAAGGCTGGGTTTCTGATCTTGTGTTGCCCACAATGAGGCCCCTTTTCTTCCCTGATGCTTTCACTCAGAAAATATAAATTATATATTGCTGTGGGTGAGATCTCCATTCATGTGACAGCATCCAGGTTGAATTTCTCAGGGTGTTCCCTCAGTGTGTATCACTGATCCTCAGTGCTCCAGCACACAGCCCACTGGTGTGGCAGCCCTGGGGCCTGAGCAGGGGCAGCAGCGGCTCTGGGTTCACCCATGCTGGGCTGGCTTTGCTTCCTCTCTCATCTGCAGGGTCCTGGGGGGACCACACTCCTCCTCACTGGGCATCTCTGCTTCATGGGACATACCTGGCTGGAGCCTCTTGTCATTGTGTGCTTTCCTGATAATTTTCAGCCCTTCTGGACTAAACATTTCTCAGGAGGTGAAAGCCAGTGGTGTTTTCCTCCCACACACACGCTGGGATCTGGAAACAGACAAGCTTTCCCAACCAGCTCGTTTCCTAATTAGCTCTTTGGATAATAATTCAATAATACAAACAAACAATTAAACAAACTCCCTTCCCCTTTAGAACCAAACAAAATCCCATCCTGGGAAGGTAAGTCTGAATTTAGCCACAAGAGAAAGGCTGAGGCTTGGAGTGCCCAATATGGGAGCCTAAGCCTGAGAAGACCCAGCCCCTGTGGGACAGGGCCAGGGCAGCTGGAGATGCTGGGGCTGGGTGGGAAATTCCTACCAGAGAAGGAAACATATGGATAGCTCTGAAAAGGACCTGGAGAAAGTGATTATACATCCCCACTGTTGTTTGGGCTATTGTGTTTTTTGGTTTTGATTCTGGGTTTCTGGTTTTTTTTTGGGGGGAAGGTGTTGTTTTGGGATTTTTTCTTTTTTTTTTACGGGAAAAGAAATCCCAAACCCCAGAAAGTCAATCAGAGAACCCAGGTGGGCTCACTCAGCTTGCACCTGCTGTGCTAAATAGGAAGGATTAAGTAGGGAGGAGCCCCTCCTGCCATGCAAGGGAACTATCAACCATTCTGAAAAAAAGGATTTGAAGGTATTAAGTTGCTTGTCTTCTGGTTAGTTATGTTTGAGGGTTTTTTAATTAAAAACATTTTCATAAGGTGAAATGGATGAGTTTGATGAAGAAAAAGAATCCAAACCAGGCTGCTGAATCACTGTATTTTGTTCAATAGCTCTTTTGGTTGTTGTTTTTAGTTTTTTTTTTTTTTTCTTTTTTTAACAGTGGGAGGAAAGAAGAAAGAAAAACAACTGTGAAAGACCTTCCAGAAGATTTAAGAGTTTATAAGTGGGCCGATAACAATAAATTGCAGAGTTGCTGGCTCTGTTACAGATGGTGCATGTGAAATGATCCAACAGTTTGTGCTGTATTTTTTATTTGCAGGGAAGCAATAAGCCGACTGTGCGAAGCTGTGGCGGGTACAAATGGAGCTATAAAAAAGCGGAAGGTAAATCCTGTTTTAGCTCAGCAATTATTTTTCTATATCTGCTTTTGATAAGCTGGATACATGATTCTCTAACAGGCTTCAGTCCATGCTGGAATTAGTGCATTTTAATCCATCTGAACTGAGCCTGGATAACATGGAAGTGCTGGTAGCAGGGTGTTTATCCTGTTTGGTTTGGGGCTGAGGCTATGCCCTACTTTATTTTTCTCAGGAGTAATGCTTTGCCCAGAGTTCCTGCTTCTACCAGCCCTTGCAGTGCAAGAGGGAGCTAATTCACTGGGATGTTATCTGCTACTTATTTATATATATTTTAAAATTAAACACATTAAACTAAAATGGCAGTGTTTAATGGATTTTATTAAGTAACTGGGATGCAGTGAGGGGTAACATCAGTGGTTGCTGTTGGGTTGTGTCCAGCAGAACTTACAGATTTCCTTCTGTAACTGTGGAGCTCAAGAGGAATGAACTTGCTTCTGAAAGAGGAATACATGAGAGAATTTCTTGCTTTACCCAGAAACACTTCATCCTCTAGAAACAAAGAAGAGTTCAGAAAGAAAACTGCACATTCTAAATTACTGAGCCAGCTATAACATTTAGCTCACTGGGGTTTTTTTTTTCCCATTATTGACATAAAACCCATTCCTACCAGTATTGCATTCAGAGCTGATGTTTGTTAGAAGATCTATTTGCATTTGATCAAGCCATTATCCTTGCTCCATTGAAAGTTTCAATAAGATACCATAAAACCTCCTTGACTTTCATATGTTTCTGCCCCTCACAGACTGGGCTGACAGCCTCTTTCTTTTCTTTCTTTGTTCAAAGCCTCCAGTGAAGTTTCTGTCTTCTGTACTTGGCAAAAGTAACCTTCAGTTTTCTGGCATGAATATAAAGCTGACCATTTCAACAAGCAGCCTCACTTTGATTAATGCTGACACGCAGCAGGTAGGATCCTTGTACTCAGGGTCCTTTTCTCCATGCTACAGTTTTGTCCTAATTTGTGGCTTCTGAGGGAAGGAAGTGCCCTGTAAAGGGAATGCAGCACCCTTTAGCAGACCTGGGCATGCCTGGTGAAGCTGAAGTACATGATGCCTCTGAATTTAAAAATGAAAGCACACAGGTCCTTTTTGTTCATGATGGTGTGTTCCATGGGGAGGGATCCTTGAGCACTTGGCAAAATGTTTCTCTGGATGTGTTTGCCTGTCAAGTGCCAATAAACAAGTCCTGACTGTAGTTTCTGACAAGTCATAGGAGGAAAAAAGAATTGATATAGCTATTAAGTCAGAGCTTGGCTTTGGTATCATTCAAAGCTATATTACAGCTGGATAAAACACATGTACAATCAGTTATACTGTGTAAAGTCTCTAGGCTCCATTGAGGTGTGTTCCTGAGAGCCTGGGTTTGCTTGGAACTGGGCTGTGCTCCCTTCCTTCTTGGCAGATATGATGAGGATCTTTGTCCTGCCCACCTAATTCCTCCCTCAGCTGTTGGTATTGCTCCCTGGGTGATCTCACCCCGGGCCAGCAGCAGGTTTTGCTCCAAGCTGGAGCAGGGGAACATCAGGGAGGTCATTTTGGCTCACTGGCTCTGAGGAATGCTGCACTGAGCTGGTGCCATGCTGAGCATCAAGGAGCTCTTAGGGGCTGTCTGTAGTGCAGAGGTCTCCTGTCCATTGCACATCCTGGGAGGGGATTAGGACACCAGGTTTCCCTTTCTTCCTTTTGGGTACAATTAGAATTTGGTGGTTGAATTCATTCTGAAGGCTCTTTAAGGTAGATTACTCAGGGATCTAGACATTGTTAAACATGAATGGGTAGTCTCAAAAATATTCCTTTTTTTATCTCTTTCCTTCCTAAATGATACATGCATAAATTAATAAATGGGATTGTTATGAATTTAATTGCTTGTTCTATAGAGACATATGTTCTGATGTCTTCTAATGTGTGGCCCAAGAGCATGTTTAATTAGCCTGTTATGCCTTTCAGATTATTGCCAACCATCACATGCAGTCCATCTCATTTGCTTCTGGAGGTGACCCAGTAAGTATTGATTTATAAAATATATTTCTGCAGGTATGATGAACTCATGTAATAATTGCTACCTGCAAATACTTTGCTTCATCCTTTCCTTCCACAAGCACTAACAGAGTACACTGCATTTCTGGATCATGAGCAGTAATACAAGAAAACAGGGGGGCTGACATTGAAAAGGAAATGTGGAATAGTGACTCAGTGCCTATTTAATAGATACACAGTTAACTTTCCTGTCGCCCATCAGTGAGTGTCGGTCCATTCAAAAGCCGTCTGACTTGGGGATCTAAAAATAAGAATGTGAACATAGGAATTGATCAGTTCAGTGGTCCCTGTGATCCAATATCTGTCATAAAAGCTGTCAGCACTGGCACCACTAAATTTTTAGATTAATTTTAACTCAAGCCAACAGCTCCTACGAGACAGATGTGGCATAACCACCTTCTTCCTGCAGATAGGGCTGTTCTTCCCAGTGTCACTGCCATGCAGTCATGGATGTTTTCAAGTCAGAGGGTTTTTATTCTATTCCAGACTCTACTGTTATGATTGTAAGCAAGAAATGCATCTATCTGGGTTGGATAAGTAATTCCTTAGGGCTTGTTTACCTTTTATAGTGTTTTTTATATTATTATCCTGCACGGGTCTTGCACAGTAACCTCAGATTTCAGAGGCTACAAAGGGCTGGGTTTGGTCAGTGCTTAATGGCAGGGCCAGCAGGAGATGTGCGTGCACAGATGTGCTGCAGGAAATGGGCTTGGTGGAGCAGCTGCTGACACTTCTTACTGGGAGGATAATGCAAAATAGAGGTCTTGCTCATCAGTGATAACTATAAATCTAGTGGCCCTTCACATAATGGGCAATTTTGTTGTCCTGTTCAGGTAATTTTTTCAAAATTCCATTTACATTTAAAATGGGAGATAGTTTCCACAGGACCTGTCTTTCCACCTGCCCCACATTCAGGGTCTAATTGAAGTTCAGTGTTGTTCTGGGCTGTGAAGGAGTAGCACTATTCTGCCTGATAATTGAGCCTATTCTGGCTTTATTTTGAAGCAAAATCATCCAGGCAGCTACGTAAACATTAAAAAGACAAAAAATAGCAGGTGCTGCTCCAGTTACTTTAGTTTCTCATCATTCCCTAGATCTGATTTATTTTAAAATCTCTATCCTGAAATATTTATGAACTTTAAGAAAAACTTGAAAGGAAAAGGAAGGAAATTGAGTTCACTAGACACATAAGAAATATTTAGCTTGCTTTGCTTTAGTGATATTAACTTTAGAGATGAAAAAAAAAAAAATCTAGGACAAGTTCTGCTGGCCCTAAGACCTGCCTCTTGTGTCATTCATTGTGAATTATTAAATGATTGTTCTTGTGCATATTGCAAATGGGGCCTTGTTTCCTGCCAGCTGATTGCCTCTTCCCCCAAGAGAACCATGCCTTTAAGCTGTGAATTGCATTTTCCCTGTCCCACCTTAAAAATCCAAAATAACAAAATGCATCTTTAATAATTAAAAGAATGTTATTCATTACCTCGCCAATTTGACTATAACACAGAATTATCAAGCCACTCTTTGCTTTTGTGGTATCATTAGAAATGTTAATTTTCCTATTCCAGTTCCGTTTTCAATTTGACTAGAAAAAGAGGATTATTTCAGTGCTGGCTAGAAAGAGAATCAGAAACAGAAAACTGATTATACTGAGGTTGTCTGATCTCAGCAGCAGCTTTGAGATCCAGGGTAATTTAACCTGATTGTAGCCAGACTAAAATTGGGCAGGAGCAATTGAGATCAGATACCCATTTTATTCTGCGTAATTTTAAAGTTTAACTTTTCTCTAAGATGCCTTCAAAACTCAATCTTATTGCTACAAATTGGGAATATTGGAAATTTGTCCTTTGCAGTATGCTAGCACTATTTTATCTTCCAGTGAGTCTGGCAAGGACAGTCCCAGCCAAAAGCAGCAGTCACACAGCCCTGATGTGTTACATGGGAAGGGCTGTGAGCTCCATGGGGAGAGTGGAAGGGGCAGCAGTGCCTGCTGATGAGGCACCAGTTGTGTTTCTACTCCTGATGCAGAGCTGGAATTGAATACACAGTTGATTGAAGACCCAAAGAATGACAAAGGGTCTAGTGCATTTTTTAGAAGAAAAAGAATATGAGACAATTACTGTGTTGATAGCCACCAGTGTGTCATTGATATTTTCCTTGGCTCACTTTGCTAGTACCTCTGGTTGTTTTTCCCTGAAGGAAGCGTGCATTTTAAAGCTAAAAATGTACCTGTCTGTATGCAATTGCTGTGCTGTGGTGGTAGAGTTGTTCATAATTACAATGTTCAAGACCTTTGTTGTCTTCTTTCCTGTAGGATACAACAGACTACGTGGCATATGTAGCAAAAGACCCTGTTAATCAGAGAGGTATTGAAACACGTTTCCAATTGTTATGTATTTATAGGATTGCTTTATTTGTATGTAACAAGGAATTGTTTGAGTTTTAAAATAAGGAAGCTACTGACCTCAGCTGAATACTCTGTACAATTTCTGGCCTTGCTGTATGTATAGGGGCAATAGTATGCAGGCTGAGGCTTTAAGTGTCATGTTCTTTGTGCAGTGAAGTGGGGATCTGCAGGTCAGACTGGAGCTGTACTAGCTGCTGGCTCCATGAAGGGGCAACAGCCTTTCTATATATAGCAGTATATAGAGTCTTTACTTTCATATATAGCAATATAGCTTGAGTCTTTACTTTCTGGTATAAACTGCATTTACTGAATTAAAGTAAGGTGTCTCTTTTCAGCATGCCACATCCTGGAATGTCCCAATGGGATGGCACAGGAGGTGATCAACACCATAGGGCAGGCCTTTGAGCTCCGGTTCAGACAGTACCTGAAGAACCCATCTAGCCTGGTTACATCTAATGAAAGGTCAGCACATTCTCAGTCACTTAAATGGCAGTTTCCTTCTCTTTGGTACTTTTCAGGAAAACAATACACTACAAAGAGTGATCCATAAGTAAGATGCTTTGAATATGCTTTCTGGACATAGGATAAGTCTAATGTATGCCTGCCTGTACGTGCAGTGTATAAGGTACCAAAATTAGCTTATTCCAGTGAACTCCATTGATTTTTGTGACATTTGTACAGGTGCAGAGCACAGAATTAAGCTGTATTGTTCCTTAGATAAAGCAGCCTTATTTTAAGTCATGCAAGTTGAACAAATTACTCTGCCCAAGTAAGTTCAGCTCTATAAACAGCAGACACACACACAGAGACTGAGCTCAGTCCTGACCTGTGCCAAGTTTAAGCTTGCTGCAGCTGTGGAAAGTGTGTGGTGGGGAAAAAAGCCATTTTAATTCACCTTTCTGCTTCTGCTCATGTTCTGGCAGCAGCCTCAGTTTTCACCTGGCATGACTTACATCGGCCTCATGAACTGAGATAAACACAGCCACCACCTGGCATGTTAGTGTGAAGCCCTGTCCTCTGCACATTGCCTGAAATACAGGGCCTAGATTAGTTTCTGGACCACAATTCCCCATTTCAATTACCCTTTTTCCATTGCACTGGGGACACAATTCTTGCTATAATTTATGGCTCTCCTCACAGATTAGACATGCCTATTTTTCTCAGGCTTCTTTTTACTGTAACACCAAATTTGATTGTTTGCTGCTTCCCATGAATAGGTAAAGCTGTGCCACTGCTTACCTGCACCCTGAGCACAGGAGTCCTGAGCAGTCACTGGAACAGGGCCTAATGCATCACAGCAGAACTGGTCTTATTGCATAAATGCAATTTATTTCAATGTATATGATGCTTCTTGCCATTCCACTGCTAAAACTGATCTGTTTTTCCTGGGGAAAATAACCAGAGGAAAAGCCTTTTATTCCTGAGAAATCCTGCTAGGTTATGTCACAAGCAGCATAGGAGCAGGGAGGAATGGAAGAGGGTAATTAGATTTCCTCCTTGAGCATAACCCACAGGCAGTCTTCGTGAACGGTCCTCAGGCAGAGGAGTCGGATATTGCTGCGTGAATGAGTCACTCCCTTCCAAACTGCTGTGAATCACATAATCAAATACTTGCACTGCATATCACATAATCAACTACTTGAACTTTATCTCTTTCCTGCTCATGGCCTTTTATCCAATTATACTCTTGTTAATCAGAGAAGTAAGATTTGAGATGAGTTTTTTTATTTTGGGACCGGAGACAGTACAGGAAGCACCTAGTTGTTTTGCAGTGTATCAGCTGTACATTTAAACTATCATCATTCTGGTTTAGCTCAAAAAAAACATTGTGTGCTCTCCTTCATGTCATTCAGTGTTCCTTCAAGCTGAGCCAGAATATTGATTGTGGTTATTAAAATCAGAGTAAATGCCTCTGAGGACAGCTACTTTTTTATTTAGTTAGTTATTTATTTTTTTGGTAGTAATATTTGATTTTCTAACACAGTTGCAGGCTTGTCTGACTAAATGCCATGAGGTTTTAATTTTTCTCTTGAAGTCTGTCTGCCCCCCAGCAATCTCTAGATTTATAGACTTCAGTCAAGAAGCCATAAGAATTAGTTTTACAGTCAGCATTTTGGATACCTTAATGAACAATGCATTGAAATTCTTAAAGTTTCAGTGGATTCCTCTTACCTTTTCTTTGACTTGAAAATATATCTGGGCTGCCTGGTGCTAATGAAATGACTGCATCTCCCTTTACCCCAAACTGTCATGACTGTTTTTAATTCAGGAAGAAGTAACTGGAAAAATAAACAGCTCTGAAAGTTCCGGCCCAAAGCCCTTTACAGCCTCCATATGGCGGATCTGTGTATTGTGCGTTGTGCAGACACTGGGGATGTTTGCCTGCACTAGAAAGCAATTGATTACATCAGAGGCTTCATTTTTTTTCCCCCCTCCCCATATTTTTTTCAGTGAGGCAGCAAATGCTAATGGAACAGCTGGGAATTCACAGGAGAGGGAGGATCATCATGAATATTACAACGAAATTCCAGGGAAGGAGCCTCCCACCGGCGGAGTGTTGGACATGAGAATGAAAGTGCAGACAGACCCAAGGGCTAAGTGTCCTGTCCAGTGCAAAAAGCAGTATTGCTCAGTAAGTACAGCATCTGCTGGCATAAATACTCACTGCCTATTATGGGAATGAATAATAAAATGTTTCTGTGGTGTTAAAGCATGGCATTAACATCAGAACTAGGTCCTGATTATCCTGGGAAAAGTTTTTTTAGGCTAGATTTAATGATGCTTAGTACATAATTGAATCCCAAAGCACTTTCTGAATATTAACTGGTTTGTCCTTAGAGTACTTTCAGGAGACCAAGTAATATTCCCTTGTTCACTCATTAGCTCTGAGAAGAAAATAGATACCAATTTAAATGGCTTGTTGGAGAGAACATCTGCAAAATCTGGGACCTCCTGGCTCCCTATTCTGTGATCTAATAAATATTTCATCCTGTCCATTATGCTCAACAACTTACACATACAACATTGACTGATTGCAATATATATACAATATTCATTACTCTTGGATTGTTTCAAGAAGCTCTGTTAAATCAGCAAAAGAGATCTGTGGCTCTTGTCTGGCATAGTGGGAAATAAAAACCATTCAAGGAGTAAAACAAGCCAAGTTCAGATGGCTGCATGGATTTCAGAGTCTGCTGTGTGAGGCCTTGGGAGCACCATCCTTTCCCCACACAGGAAAGAAGGCACTACCACTTTGCTCAGAGGGAGCACACTCAGATGTGCCTGCTGGAATCCAGTTGGTTCTGTCTAAAAGCTTGCTGCTCCCAGGTGTTATTTGTGTTTGGTAGCAACTGCTCCTGGGCTGCCGTGTGTTCCTGTGCTACTGCACCACCTATTTTTGCTGACATGAACCATACTCTGCAAATCAGGTCCCCACCTCCCCAGCAGTTCTCTAAATCAAAAAATGTTTTACTATATCCAGAGTTTGCACCTGATGCTCACCAGTGTTGTTGCAAGGAGTTACTCTGCATGTTAATGCAAATGCCTTTTTCCCCATGGGGTATTATTTTTTGGTTTTCCTTTCTCTTTCAGTGCTGTTCAGACAATTTAGCAACCATTTCACCATTTCACTTTCAAACCATGATAACTGTAGTTGATTTTATGATGAGGGACACCTACTAGAAAATCTGAGCTTTCTTACCTAGGAGTTATACTGTATATATAGTAAACATTAGATACATAACTGGGCAGTTATGAGACTCACACTGGAGTCCAGATGTGACATCTAAAGAAAGAAGAGTATCAGTGTGAAATATTATTTGAGGAGATGGGAATTTTTTCGTGAAGAACATGTTTAATTACCTGTATATCTAGTAACTAATGCATGGATGTTTTGAAGTTACCCGGGTTTTTCTGGGGGACTGCTTTACGTGACTGATTTTAAAATTTTTCTGCAGACAGACAGCCCAACCTTCATCAATATATATGAAAATTGTCCAGAAGAAAACAAAACTGTGGGTATGTACTCTCTTTTCCTTCTCATGCATATGCAGAATTAACCAGGGCAGGCTGCCTGGAAGAGCTGCCCCTTGGCTTTCAATACAATGGTGAAAAGTGTTCTACTTAGTGGGTCATTTTTAGTTCCCTAGATGCAGGGCAGACAAAAAAGCCTTACAGCTTTTCTAAAGGCCACTTATCTATCTTCATGTCTGCTGGCAGACTTACTCATTTTACTTCTCATGAAACTGTACAGTAGCTCTTTGTTTTTTTATTCTTTTTCATACTCTTTGTTGTTCCTTTGTTGTTCCCTTTCTTCATACCATTTGAAAAACGAAGATACTTCATTACGTATCAGTCTCTGAGTATATCCCCTTCTCCTACAAATGCTCAATGAGATCCAAAGTATCAGCATTGGATTTTTCCAACAGAGTCTGGCCCCTTGGTTCCAGCATCCCTGGCTTCGGTATGGCTGTGCCCTTCCCCTGCCTCAGGCAGCTTTGTGCCCAGGATCAATTTGCCTTTAGCAAAGTCTGCTCTCAGGGACCCCAGGAGATGATCAGCCTCCATCCCTTTCTGGACTTTGCCACAGCTGATGCCCTGAGCACATTTGCTCAGCTCCTCTCTTTCACTGCACAATGGGGTCCTTTCTGAATTCCCACCTGCACGGCTCTGAAGTGATCCATTACACTGTCTGTAGGGGATACTTCAGTTTCTTGTGTTATTTCCAATTCAAGGAAAGGAGAATCAAATGGTTTCTACAAAGAGAGGGAGAACAAATAAAAGAATGAATGAATAGATCTATGAATAAAACGTTTGTTGAAGAGCAAAAATATGCCTGCTATTTGGCTAGCTGAAGTGCTATTATTTTCATACCCTGCAGGGGATATTCTGTTAGCCTGTTCCTAGGCTTGGATCCTAACCTGACAGATGTGGCTTGGGCTCTCCAGGCAGAGCCTCAAAGCACCAATCTCCTCCATCTCTCCCTTCTCCACCAGAATAGCAAGAGAGAGAATTTCTCAGCTTCCCACAAGCTCTTTTTGTGGTGCAGAGGAGAAGGAAAGGGTTTTGCAACAAATAACATGTATGGTTTGTGTTTTTGTAGAGGCATATGTATTATTTTCTTTCCAGTCCGTGGGGGCTTCAGTGACATTGATTGGAGGAGAACTGGATCAGTGCAGAGCGTTTCTGAAAACTTCATTCTAATTAGTTTTGGACCTGATGCCTTCTAGACATCAGGAAAAATAAGTTCATTTGCATTTTTATTTTCCTTCTGAATTACTATAGTGGGCTATAAAGAAGAACATCATTCCTATTTCAGCTTTTACAGTTACTTAAAGCTGAGTTAAAAAAAAAAAAGAAGGAAAATCTGTGCATACTATATACTAATTGCAGGTAATTGCGATGAGAGATCACAGAAGACAATAAAAGAGGCAACCTCATTGAAACCTGCCTACAAAGCAGATCTCTTTGATGATCCATGTTACATCAACACGCAGTCCCTGCACTCTGCAGCCTGTGCAGCCCGAGGTGCAGCAGCAGCACAGAGCCCTGGGAGCCCTCTGCGCCAGGCCAGTAGGTCCCACTGCGGTGCCACACCTGTCTCAGCATGGGAGGAGGGGGGCTTCTCATTTCTCTGCATGCAGAAAGATTTGGCTTTTCCATAAGAAATACAGAAAAGATGGGGGAAGAAATCTATCCTGGTTGTTCTTTTTCCTTGTGAGATTCAAGAGAAAAGGGATTAAAGAGCAGAAATAGTGATGGTAAACAAGCAGAGTAACCTTTCATCTTCTGTAGTTCATTGCTGACAATGAATGGAGTGCCACAGGTATTAAAAAACAAGTCTTTAGGATGACAGGAGCCTGGGACTGCACATTGCCTCAAGGAAGAGTATGCTGAAGGTCTTACCCACTCTAAGGTTCAAATGACCTCAGATGCCTTTGCTTCACAGGCAGTAGCATGCAAGGTTAAAGTGGAATTATTGTGACTGTCTTTTCTTAGTTCTTCCAAAACTGACCATTGAATCTCATCCAATAATTTCGAAATCAAACTGTTTGATCTGTCGTATCAACCTAATGTACATCCAAACTTGATTAATGGACTCAAAGTGGAGGATATCCATTAAATGATTATATAGTTGCTACTGATTGTCCTCATTATTGAATATACTTTATTAGCCTTGCCTTTTATGGTTTCCCACTGAGTGTTTTCTCTGTCAGAGTTGGCTCCACACAAGAAAGTGGAAAAAGGACTGGACAATAAAAGAAACACAATAAAGAAATCTTTGACCATTGAGACATTTCCAACTTGGGACTGCATCATTCTCTAAAAGAAGCTGCCTATATCCTGAGGAGCCTTAGGTTGCACAATTCCATTGAAGAAGTGGTATCCTCATATTTTCCTTTCCTTAGAATCCTGCCTGCCTGTGAATCATTTGCAGTCTGACTGGCTATATCCCAAACCACCCAGTTTTTTTAGTACATTTGGTAATTGTTCGTTTTTTAACAGCAAATGTATCATGCTGTAATCCTTCCCTTCTGGCTACATTGGCTATGTTGTCTTACATTCCTGCACATAGCTGGAGCCACTCAACATGACTCTCCCAATGATCTGTGACAATCTCTTCAGAGCTTGTTAAGGAAGAAGGAAAAACAAGATCTTAGGGGAAAAAAATAAAGCTAAAAAGCCAACAAAAATCTCGTTTTTACAGGAAAAATTTGACTATTTCATACAAAGAAATGTAACCCCAAACCAGTACAGCATCAGAAAAATTCCTCTTTCTAATCCCTGTTGCCTAGCGACCAAAGGCTTTCCCATCTAAGGTAGGGGAAGAGGTGGTGTGATAATTTTGCCTAATGCACTGGAGGGTCATGAGCATTCATGTGTGCATATTCTTACAGTCTGTAAGGTTGGTTTGCTTCAAGGCTGAATTGTTTGAATTTTTTAAAAGCTATTAAAGATATTGGCTTGCATCCTTTTAGGATGAGGTTTTAGGTGAAGTGTCCAATACATTCCCTTTCATTTAATTTTAGAGTTACCGGAACCTGTTCAGCAGAGTGCCACAAGCAACACAGCTGGTCTCTGTGCTCTGCCACAAATAAAGCAACAGCTCAAGAATGAAGATTGTTACCATGGCAAATTGAACAGGAAAGCAGCAGAGAGCCTCTTAGTCAACGACGGGGATTTTCTGGTACGAGAAAGCACAACGTCACCTGGTCAGTATGTCCTCAGTGGACTTCAGGGAGGGCAGGCAAAGCATCTACTCTTGGTGGATCCTGAGGGCAAGGTATGAATATTTCATATAATGAAATTTCAGTGCTGCTCAGATATTTCAATCAAAATGCATGGCTGCATTCTATCAAGTGGAAGCGATTTGATTCCATTCAGGTTAATTTAAATATGGCCAGTGGCTGCAGTAGGTTTAAAAGTTCAAAAACTTAAAAGCACTGAAGTACCATGGAAGTAGCAGTGAGGAATTTAAATACTGTTAGTCCAGGTGCTGATAATTAGTGTATACACTTAACACATCCTGCAAACCGTTAGTGCTAGAAAAAAATAACCCTATCCTTAATGATGAATTTCTGGATACAAAAAGGTTTGTTGTCACTTCAGTTCTACTTTCTTCATCTGAGAAGAGCATTCTTGAGTGACATTTTTGAGAAGAGAGCAAATCAAAAAAGTAATCCTCAATGGGATTTAGGGAAAAATGTCTCTCTTCTTTGGAGGAATAAAAGGTTATTTCTTTCCCCTGAGCATAATCAGCCCAGTTTGACATACAATCTTTTCACTTTACCACTACTTTTCTTGTGGGCCAAAGGATAGATCTGAATTGCTGTCTACAGTCTAATGATCCTGCTCAAGTGAGTTCAGTGGCTTAAGTGCCTTTTGATTTTAATGTGTTAGCCTCATGTCCAACCGGTTATAAGCACAATCTAACCTAAAATATATTCTTTTGCTTCTTCCACTAGGTGAGAACCAAAGATCATATATTTGATAGTGTGGGTCATCTTATTCAGTATCACATGGAAAATAATTTGCCAATCATCTCTTCTGGAAGTGAAGTGAGCTTGAAGCAGCCTGTAAGGAAAGAGAGTAATATGGGACACACGCAGTATCACAAATAATCCCTTGGATCTCACAAATCCCAAAACAATTCATACCTGAACTTTCTATTATGAAGACAAGTCAAAAAAGTATAGACTGCACTTTCTGCTGCTGTTCCAGAAGAAGCCCTTATGTGTGTGTATGTATGAATATATGTATATGTGTATATCTATGTAGATCTATAGAGATCAACAAGCATAGTTATATAGATACACATAATCTTAATCTTAACAAAATTACACCTTCAGAGTGTGAGATTCATTTGTGAGAAGGTATTTTAGACATGCACAAATGTCACTTTCAAGGTCATACTGAATCAGTAACTATTTAAAAGCACAATTAAAACTACATACAAAAGCTCACTTGAAAGAACTGCTGGAACATTAGTATGTGCCTTTTAGCATAGAATTATTGAAACCAATGTTATTTATACTGAATTAGTTTTGGGTGGTTAAACAAACACGTCTATGCTTTTAACTATTTGCCAAAAACAAGTACAATTTGAATATTACTAAAATGTCATCTTTCGATAGACACTAACAATTTCATTTTGCTTGTAACAGCACTTTACTAGCAAGTAATGTTTGAAATGAATGGCATTCACAATACAGAAAGGTTGTCCAATTTCTTAATAATTTTTTGTCACTGTCTGTCTACTCAAAGATTTGAGATTACAAACATTTACAAAGTTGAAATTAATATATGTAATATAATTTTGGAATAGAACTTGTTAAGGGACAAGCATGCTAGATCTTAATATTTTTGTCTTGCATATGATTTTACTATTATTATCACTTAATACTGGAAACATCTTTTTAAAGGTAGGCTAAATATATTTTCATTGATTACATAGTTGTTTACAAACTAGAAAAGCTGAACAAAACTAATGATACATTTTGGGAGAAAGCTATTTAAAGGATGTTTGAACTTTGCATGTGTCCTTAGTCAGTGTTCTTTCCAAAACAAGATAGTTTCCCCCTCTTCACATAGAGTCCCTTTGTTCCTAAACATGGAAAAATCTTTTAAAAGAAATCTATTAATTGTTTTGCCACAATAAATACTCTAAACATGAACAATCCTATATTCAGAGTGAACAGTGATTTATTTGGCTTCCTGTTGAAGAAACAGTAATTTAATAAGTGACTGAAGAAAGGCAGGGGAGATTTGGGGAATGAACTGGTAGTCCAGGTGATGGCCTGAGGGAAATGGTGCATTTGAGACAAGCAATATTCTCTGGCATGAACAGACATAATTCTCTCTGTCTCCCAGCCCACTGGCTCAGTTCCTAAGGCAGACAATTGTTGTGGAGTTCAGCAGTTGCTGGAAATCTTGACCATAAAAAATACATTGTTTGTTTGCCAGTGTTCATGGTAAAGGGAACACTGTAGCATGAGCTCCTTCTTCTAGAAAACAAGAGGAGAGATCTTATAAAATTATGGAAGACAAGCTTCCTTGGAGGGGAAAATCTAATGTAAAGAGCCACACTTAGAGTCTACTAGAAAACATATTTATTTTTATCCTCAGCTAATAGCCCAAAAATACATTTCATTCTTTGATAACAATATTATTAAACTACTCAATTACATATACTGAAGCAGTGGGAAGGTTTAAACATTAGTAGTTCATTTCCTTGCTAATAGTCTGGGCATTTTCAATACCCTGAGCCTTCAGGGCTAGCAGCCCAAACTTCTGCCCATTCTCTCCTGTGCAAGGTGCTCACGTGTGAAGGCCTCCAGCAAGAGTTCATGCTTTGTACCACAGCAAGAAACTGTAACTGGGATATCAACCCCCTGCATAATATCATTTCTATTCTCACATCTTGTCAAACTTCAGAATGTGCTTGGTATGACTATGGAGCAAGCAATGAAGCAAACCCAGCTACTTCTGTGGCATGTCAAGTGGAGAGAGAGACCTGTTCTGATTTTTGTATCAAAGCTGAGTTTTATGACAGGTCATAGAAGGAAAATGTGCAGAACTCCACCTCTATTTTTGGAACAAATCAAAGTTACTCAGGACTTAAATAATAGCATTTGGAGCTGTGATAGTATGAGATCAAAGTTTCTTGACTCTGCCAGTCAAGATGCTGACTCAGGGACTTTTTTCTCTTCATCAGTTTTCACTTAACCAGTGAATAAGGACAGCCAGAGCCAGTGTGTGATGTGCATCACAGTATAATGTGTCTCTCTCTTTGAATATCACCAATGTAAAACATTTAAAAGACCTGGATCTTTGTTCTGATGCTCCTGCATATTTTTTTATGTGTGTGAAGTAAAAAGGAAGGAAAGGAAGATAATTGGGTGCTAGAGCAATAAAGAAGTATATCAAAATCTTGTGATGTGGGAGAAAGCAGATAATCCAATTAATTACAGATAAAAATCAAACACAATGCATCCATGCATTTTCCTAGAGAAAACTACATTCATTCTCAGTTTTTGGTGTCTGGCATTTGCATGCTTTCATTTAAGCTATTAATGCTGCTCTGTGGCCCAGCTGTCTCATGTAAAATACTCTGTCAGCTCCTCTGTGGAAGTCTTAGAAATAATCATGCTAAAAAGAAAAATAATTGTGTGAATTTTGGAAAGTTTCCAAAATATTGTTCATAAGAAACTCAATATGAATTGTCAGACACATTTAAACCCTTTTTGTTCTTGTTTGAGTCATTTAATGCCTCTAAAAATGACGAGAATTGGTTAATATCTCTTTGAATGGTTACTAGATTCCTCTGGGAAAAATGGCTGATTTCGCCTATAATGTCACGTTTACTAGACAGCCTGTTCGTTCCTTTTCAAACTTCTATAAATTTCACTGAAACACACGAAGTGTTTGCTCCCATTAATAAAAATCCTCCAACAAATGACCCAAACGTCTCTGCCCGGACTCCTTTCCCGCTGTCCGGGCTGAGGGCGAGGCACCAGGTGGGGCTGTTACAAACGGAACCAACCCTCGGTCAGAATTGCTTCCTGCGACTCTGCGCAATAAATCTGCTCCTTCTGAGAAGGTTTTAACTTTTTAAAGAGAACGAGCTCTGGAAGCAGAGC